ACCCATCAGCATCTCTAACAATCTCCCACCTCCCGCTGTCCATCTGGAGTAGAAGTTTTATCCTTGGCTGGAGCAGCTGGCAATTTACATTCCCCAGGATCTGGCTATGAGGAGCAATGATTTTTGGCCCTGTGGAATTAAATACAGTGCCAACAATAGAAGGGTTGGACAAACCGATGAACAGATCAATCTGTTTCAGCACCTGCAGGGCACCAGGTCACTATGGATCCTTAACTGTAGAATTACAGGTTGCTCCTTCCATGTCAGGATGAAAATTTTAATTATACTGTATTTCAGGAAGCACCATACAGGAAAGATCATAGCAGCATGTTGGGCTTTGAAAGAAGGAAAAAAACCACCATCAGTCACTTACCCTGTGGTATCAGCTGCTCCTCAACACCTTGGTCTCCTTTGGGTTCTAATTAAAAGTGTAGGGGGAAAACGTATGTGAAAAATACTTCTCCCATTGCCAACTGTTTCGGTGTGATTGCTATTTTTTTTTTAATACTCAGTAAAAAGTCTCCCTGTTGATTAACAAGCTGATCAGAAAGGCCAGGAAGCCAGCAGCACAGCTGTCTCAACAGCTCTGATTGCTTTTTAAATTATTGTCTATTCTCAGCCTTGTCAGTCAGGGAAGAAATGGCAACTTTAGTAAACAGTAGCAAGTTTTCCTGGATCTTCGCCTGGAAAGACCTCAGCCAACTCAAAGCTAAAAGGTCGTTCTTAAACATTCCCACCGTCCCAAGCATCTAGCGCAAATCAACCATATCGACTCCTTGTGCTAGCGTTCTGCTCTTTGTCTATCTGTCAGCTCTAGGAGTTGGTAAAAGTGCAGGGATTGGCTTGGATACATTTTAACTCAAAAAAATATTAAAAACCTGAGACAATACAGTGATCATTGTCCACAGAAATCTAATGTGGAAAGAGAGACGTGCAAAAATTTTCTGATTAAGCCCCAAACCACAAAAAAACATTTTTTGGCTTTCATTTAATCTAAGATCATATTCACTGAAATATTTACTGAGGTTCACAAGCTTCTTAAGGGAATTTAGGCCCACTTTGAGCAGTAAATTACAGTCCTATGGTGAAGCCAGGTGCTGTTGGTTATTTCTTAAGGTTCCAGCCTGAGATTGTGTGAAGTTCACTGAGTTTTAACTAAACTTTGCCTTGAGTTTTTGGCTCCCTCTGGACTGTAAATACAAACTGAATTTGGGGGGCTAATGGGGATCAATACTCAAGATACATTCCTAGCAAATAAAGGCAATCAAATTTGCTTAGCTCTAGGAAACAACCTCCCCCCAACCCAAATAACACCTGTCATTTGCCCATAATATATTAATGACCCAGTCAACTATTGTAGATGGCAGAAATATTTTAACTTGACTTCAAATAGCACGGTACACCTCAGGTTTCCACTGATTACACAAGATCTGCAGTGCATAATTCATACTAGACCAGATGGATTGAAGCAACAATAATGGTAGCAAAGATTCAGGGCTATAATATAGCTGAACAAGATTCTGCAGAAACACTGGGACACAAGATCTCAGGCACAGCTTAGACTACAGTTCCTCATACAGTGGTCCACAGATCAGCAGTGGTTGGCATACTGAATATTCCCCACCATTTTCAATGAAAGGTTCAATAATAACATTGTGTGCTGTCCTGTAAGAATTTTGCAAAGGTCTGTTGGTTAAAAGCATCTAGGAACCATTGCCTAAGGCGATAATTCACTCTGGGGTATGAGGACCCTACCTTCCATGCAATAGAAAGTGCAGGTTTTTTTTAAGTGCGGCTTTCAAATGTACCTAAAATCTAGATGTGACTGGATGACAGATTCTGTCTAGGCCTACTTCACTGGGAACCAGTCTTTGAACAACAGTGGCAGTGACTTACAAGGAAAGAAACTTCCCTTAGCACTTAGAATACAAGGGAAGATTGTTGCTTACATGGAGTCCTGGGGCATTAAGGAGTTTAAGTGGAGGTCTTCATCTCTCCTCTGGGACTGAGCAGTGGGATGAGGTGCAGGTGCAGAGAGACCCCAAAAGCAAAAATAAATGACATGGAAAACATGGAATAAGCTTATAATGGACATGAGGGAAAAGGCTGCTGTAATTCAGTTATTAGCAGCTGTAACTGCAGTTCTGAAAATACTCTGCAGAATATACTATTAAAGAACCTCCCCCCATATCGTGGTATCCTGTCAAATTGTGACATCTGGTCTGTGTTGGCTGTAGCCACGCTCCAAGTCGGCTGCAGTCATGAAAAGCTGAAGAGCTGCCATAAACTGTTCTTAAAAAAAAAAAGAGGACTACGTCCATGGAGGATAAAGAAGAACCCTGGGAGCAGGGAAAGTAACGGATAGACAGTGCCTTGGAAACTAGGAGTGAAGATCCTGAAACAAGGATGGCGAATGCCAAGGTCAAAGAAATTCAATGCCTGGTGATCTGTCTGGCCAAGACAACTGAGCTGGAGGTTTGTTTTCAGTGTATTTTTTTTCATGCCACAAGAGGGATCATAAAACAGCCCATTCTGTTTATGGGAAATTTTAAAAGGTATCATGCTTAGTGCAACTGATCTGTTGTCAACAGAAAAGCCATCCTGCTAAATACAACCAAGACACCCCCTTGCACTGCTCATCCCCAGGAGAATACTACATTCTGAGCATGTGAGGTGTGCATTAACTGTCCCATCTGCGGTCCCCTTGGGTCTCTGTATTTCTTCAGGAATGCTTCAGTCTATCCAAGCCTGAAAATCAACTTCCACAGTATATGAACATTTACAAGACACAGGACAGCATGCGAGTTCTACTGATGATAATGGAACTTAGCCTCAGCAATATCACGATTCAGCCCTTAGGAAACTCTTGGGCCAAAGGAAAGCAAAATCTTAATGAGAGACAAAATGGACCTATTATTCCCCCCTCTTGAATTTGTCCACTCCCTTCCCAGAATGCAGCTGCTTCTCCTATAGTTTAACCCAAGGAAAGGTAACAGCAAGAAAGGAAGAGCTCCTCACTTCACTTAGGAGCAATTCTCATTGTGGTACGAGTGTCAGTAATGGGCTTTGAGGAAGGCAAATCCAGTTTCCCCTGTCTGAAAGTCACTTTCAGATGAGATACTCCCAGATCATTCCATAAAAACAGAAGAACAAATCTGTTTCACTTCCACATAATGTATGTAGTTCATTTACATGTCAGCTTTGTTCTTCCAGCGAGAAGGAACAATGAAGCCTACCAAGCCATGCTGAACAAACAGGCTGTCTAAACCGTGCATACAGATCCCATACTTGCACATGAATTTGTACTTGAGTCTATGGTGTATCAGCATATGGTCTGTGTTCGCAATTTAGCAGAATTGGTCACAGAGCAACTCTCTCACTCAGCCTCAACTGGGGGGAAGATCAAGGGTCCAAATATCTCAGACAGCTCTGGTGTCTATAATGGAAACCCCAGATCTGAACAGCCTCAACATTCAGGAAGAGTGGCTCCCTGGACATGATCCACCTGTAAAAAGGTGATGTACTAATGTGCTACATTGCTGGACAGTATGCTATAACGACGTAGCAATCATGCGGGTCTACACATGATCGGCAGCTACGTTGCCATAGCGATGCGGTCCCCTGTTTTGGTGCACTGCTATAGCAACATAGCGGTATGGGCAATTACAGTGCTGTGCTGCTGTGGTTTAGTACTTCCAAAACGGCAATGTGTAGACTAAAGCACGGCGAAGTGTAACTCACATAACTGTTAGTTATGAAAACATGTCCTGCCATATATATTTCCTCTTTGTAGTGAATATTCTCAGCTTAGCTGAAGTTCGGATTTCCTCACTGCAAGTGCAAAGCCCGCTGCAGATGCGAATTCAGCACCTGTGCCAATGACCATCCAATTTGCACCTGCCATAAAGTAACCTAAAGCACAAGAGCCAGGATTTACTATTTGCAACTCTCTGAAGGAAAATGAGTATAAATGTCTTGGGCCCACAAGAGGGAATTTGCCCATCTGACAATCTACCCCTATACTATTTGTTGTCTTTATATTAGAAGGAAAGAACTGGAAAGATATCATTCCTGGTTGTGGACTGCATCAAAGCCAAGTGCAGTGCACTATTTGAGACCAAGTTATACAGAAGCAGCCTATTTACTATCACCATATAGAGCTCAGATTTGGATTTGTACCAGGTATCAGGGCACTAATACATGCAGTCAGAGTAGAGGTTGTCTTACCAGCTGATCCCACTGTCTTCCTTAACACAGTCCCAGGGTTTAGCAGGGGAATGGCATCTGGTAGCAAACCATCATACCATCTGCCTGTTGGCCTAGGGATTGGCAGGTCATTCTCCAGAGCTGGGGTTCTCTCTGCAGCCTCAAGCAGAAAAATCTAGATATAGAAAGAAAAATGGTGTCAGCATAGCTCTCTGCTCAGACTGGACTCAGAAGGGCTGACCCCTCAATCAGCTATTAAGGTAATGGGAACTACAGGACTTGATCCTGAAAGGTTCTGCATGAAACCAGCTCAGATTACTGCAAGCAACAGACTGCTGCACAGAGGTATGGGCAGAATTTCAGTGTTTGACTTAAACTCCATTAATTTTCCAGAAACAGGCCATAATTAGCTAATGAAGAGCTTTGGGGCGCTTCATAATGCTGCATCCCCTGAACTGGACTTCAGAATATGCTTCACAGTTTGCAGGAAATGTTTGGCACCAGAAAGGATGGGAGACTTGATGAGAAAAGCAATGTGCTAGGAGGGAATAGAGTTGGACAGAGCCTAATGCCTCCAAGCCATTTGTTCAGATCTTCCTCAGACATGCCTCTGGTGGTCTTAGTATCAGCACTGTCTGCATTTTTTAAAATTTTGACAAATTTGTGGAATTTGAAGAGGCAAATTAAAATGTTTCTGCAAAATATTCAAATCAAAAGCTGGTGGAAACTGGTTCAACTTTGAAACACATTTTTTTTTAAAGGAGGAATGGGTAGAAATTGTTTTAAAAAGTAATGAACATTTTACCTACCAGCTCTGCTAAACCTATGCCAAGCTACTCAGGGTGCCAACTCTCCTACAGCATAGCCCACTACTGCCAAATAAATTATTTCATTTACTTACATACAACTTGCACCTTCCCCCCCAAAACTCAGTCCTCCAAAGCTGGGTGTGTGTTTTCAGCGGGGAAACTGATTTCTGCACTGGAATTAAAGCATAGGGATGCTATAATAGCTGCTGGGCTTTTGCTCTTCTGCCAGCCTCACAGGGGCAGGGAGGGAAGTGCAGTCTTCACTTCCGGTTAGTTTTAACCCTTTCACAGCTGCTGCTGAATTGGCAGCAGCTTTAGGTTGAGCAGCCAAAAACTAGGAGCAGTTGTGAGAAGGTTAAAACTGTAGTCAGGATTTAGCCATGACCGGAAAAATCTTAAGGTGAATTAACATCTTGTTTAGGGACATCTGGTATGTAAGAAAAAACAGAAACATTGCAGTGCTGTGTGCAGCTATATTGTTTGGCTTTTAGAACCAACTGGGATGATATTCCTTTTACAATTTGTTCAGTACCAAGCAGGCTAGCACTGCTGTAGATAACATAGTACTGTTATTTTTGTACAGCAAAATAAATAGAAACCAAGACAAAGACCAAACGTTTGGTAAGAACTCAGTCACTTCTTTGGGAGAAGCATGGCCAAATTTCCCATAGCAAGGGGCTTCAGTCCAAAAAAATATGGCACTTCCAGCAGGAATTTATCTGTAAATATCATGCTAAATCAATGGTTCACTCCTGACTTGAGGGGAAGTCCAGTACTTCTGTCTTGTATAGCACTGTATATTCCCCTTTGGAAAGCTCCAAGTGACATGCTGATTTAGCACGAAAGAAAATAGAGAACGTTCGACTCCAAATGACCCAACTACATGACTGGAAATTTTTAGCCTTATATGCTACATTTGTTTCTACATCATAAAATCAGGCTATTATTATAAATAAAAAGGACACATTATTTCTGTACTTGCAAATATTACAAAGTTTATCATTTATTTATTATGATGCACAGTCAGAGCCAATAATGCAGCAAAGCCAGAAACAATGAACTTTCAGCAGAACATATTATTCTGACAAGCTCATCGGAGACTAATTAAATTGGGAGCGAGGTTAAGTGCAAAGGAATGGAACCCTTAGCTGGTATAAACTAGCAGACCTCCTCCTTGACTTTAAGGACAGTATTCTCATCGCTGGGTGTCTTGCTTTCTAAATGTGAAGTGGATGCCGCAGGAAACCAAGAAGAAATATGCTACCATGACCCCCTAAATTTAATGTCACTCCTGTCAGTGGTATTGTGTCTGGAGTGAATTTGGTTCAGCAAGTTTTCCTCCATCCATTTACTTTCCTGTTCCTATTTAGAAGAAAGCACGGTCTCAGTAAATACCTAAGCATGTGCTTTAAATTAAGCTTGTGCTGATGTCCCATTGGCTTAAGACTTAAGTGTGAAATAAGGGCCACAAATATGGTGCCTAAGTGGGATCCAGCTTGATTTCTTGAAATGCCAAACCTAAGTCAGTCCTCTTTGTCCTGATTGCTTTTTTGTGACTTAGTCTTCAGGCTAAAATGAGGGTGTGCTACAAACGTAGAGGCATAAATGGATTGTTCAGCATTTGAGCAAGGCAGAATAGGAGTCCATGTAGGGCCGTTTCCTGTTCCACCTCTGAGATGCGCAAGTCCTTTCCTGAATGTGAGCTCATGCTGTTATTTCCCTTACAAATTGGCTGTATAATGCTGCTGAATAACAGCTGCCATATCCCAGTGCAGAGGTGGCTTCTTTTCAGCACTGAGGGAATGTGAAGGGATCCCTGTGTGAACCATTTAACACTTAAGTGCTCTGGTTCATGTTAGAAGTGCTATGTAAAGGGACATATTAAATCCATAACAACTGCCAGAATACAGCACAATACAGGATTTCAAGGCCCTGTCCAACAGCATTATTAGCCAAGCTGATAGAAATCTAATGAAGTTTGCATCTGGAATGGAGCAGATCCAAATCACTTTTATGCATGATAATAAAAAAGTGTTGCTGCATAATCAGCATCGAGTGGCGACAAGAGTCCTTTTCATTAAAACAATGTTTTAAATGAATACCTGCTGATAAATGGTGTAAAAGATTTAAAGGCATGTACAAAATAATCCTTAAAGGTATGTACAAAATAATCCTGAATGCTTTTTTTCTTTGGTGGGGGGTAGGGAGGGATGTTCATTTTTGCTTTTTTTTACAAATTGACTGTATAGCCTGAACAGTCCTTATGGCGTGAACCATAGTTGCTGGTATATTTTCTAAAGGCACAGACTGGTTTCTGATAGCAAGATTTAGGATTTCTAAAGCTGCTAAGAAATTATATTCTCTCAAATAAAATTGAGACGGGTTTTGAGAAATAATGAGGTGGAGAGGGGAACTGCCTGCTAATTTACACTTTAATTCTGCTTTGAGCATCAGTTTGCACTCTTGTTAAGTGGGTGTAAATTCACCCCGATTAGTAGAAAAAAGCTTACAGCCTTTTCGTGCATTTCTGTGGTGTGTCGGCCTTTGGCAGAAGTATGAAATCACACATCCTGCTTACAGCTCCTTCTGCAAAGAGGATTAATTAGTTCATGTCTCTGTGTGCTGTGTTTGTTTTCTATGCTTCAGATGCAAACAGGGAATCTGTTGTGCTGAAGTACAGAAACCCAGAAAACACATGTAGGTTTAACTGAAACAACAACGTGGATCAGATTGAAGCAAATCACTGCAGGGCTTTTTCTTCCACTGCATATGGCACAAAACGCAGCATGGTCCTAACAAGCATTTATGCATGGTATGTTTTCTTAAAGTGCAGTGAACTAGAAGTCAAGTCCAAGTCTAAGCATTCAACAAAACTGAAGCCTTTAGGCCATCTACTGAGTCACCATGTATTGGTCACTGCTGGAAATAGAAGTTAACACACAAAAGGTCTGATATGGTATAATCCAATATTCCTCTAGCATATATGTTAGGAGTGAACAAACTAACAGCTGAAGTCAGAGCAGGAGTCAGCCTTCCTTCATTTCTTTTCAAGTTGTGCCTATAATTTCGCTTGCATTTAAAAAGCAGAAATAGCATAGTAAGACTACAATAATACTGAAATAGGAAGTTATGGAAGAGTAGTCCTAGAGCAGTGGTTCTCAACTTGCTTAGGTTTAAGGTAGCCCTCGTTAGACTTGAGGTACCCCTCAGAAAATGCCAGCTCTGAATTTTTCCCCAGTTTTTGACTGTTGAAAAATAATAGAGCAAATCTTCTGTTACAAAGAACTCACTGCTTCACAGGTGAGAACGTTTTTCACAACATGGATTCCTATTTGAAATCTTTGTGTTTATTTTGTGATGCATGTTGGCACAGTGGTAACATTATGTGACACCCCACAGCACCCTAGAAAGGATCTCAAGGCACCCCAGGGTGCTGCAACAACCTGGTTGACAACCACTGTCCTAGAGCAATCTGAAATCCCTTGTTAAACAGGGCACTGAGCTGAAGGGGTGTAGGAAATGGGAAGTTTGGACTAACTTCCCTTTTCCAATTGTACAGAAACAGTTGCTTCTCACCTTCACATCCTACATCCCTTGATTCTGTTTGTCAATATAACATTTCAGTGGACTTGAGACATAACAAAAATTTCTCCAAAAAACCTGAGAGCTCATTGTAAGTAGGTTCAGATGTGGCAGCACATCTAAGCTATTCAGAGCTGGAGGAGTTTTTGGCAAAGCAGCACATGGTGGTTTTCAGGCAATCTTTAATTCTCCTCACACAGTAAAGGAACAGGTCATAAGCTCAGCCTCCCTTCTTACCTTTCTGATGCTCATCACCCCATATGTATGATGAGCAGGAAAGGGACAGCTTGACTTCCTGAAAGTTCATAGTCAATGCACTGAGGTCCAGGACACTAGGCTTCCCTTTAGATCGGGGCAAGCAATTATTTTGGGTGGAGGGACGCTTAATGAGGTTTGGTGAGCTGCCGAGGGCCACATGGGTAGCCCTGCCCCTTGACAGCTGACCTGTCCCCTTGTCACCATCTTCAGACTAGAAGCCTCACCCCTAACCCCTGACCTCTTCAACTGGAAGTCCTTCCTCTTGCCCTCCAGAAATATCCCTTCTGGGAGGGAGGGTCCAGGGTATATTGGGGGGTTGTGTATATGTAGGGGGTTGTGGGGGCAGGGTGTGGGTGTGTGAGGGAGGGTGGGTGTCCCTACACCTCCCACTCTCCCTCACGCCCACAAGCTGCCCACCCGACCTCCGCGCTACCACCAGCCCCAGCCCCATACTCCTGCCCCAGTCCCAGCCCTATGGTCCCACCCAGCTGAAGCCCCATCCCTACTTGCCTTCCCACCTGCTGCC